TACACATGTGGAAATATGTTCAACATCATGTAACATTAAAGAGTTGAAAACTAGAACAATAATGAGATAACCATTGCAGATGTATCAGAATAGATAAATACAAAACATTGACAACCAAAATACAGAAAACAATATGGAACAGCAAGTACCCTCATTCATTGCTGATGGGAATGTAAAATAATTCAGATTGGTATTTTCTTACAAAAGTGAAGAAAATTTATCCCATAATTCAATATCTACATTCGTTGGTATTTGCCAGTGTGCACTGAAAACATCTTTTCACACAAAAATCTCAAACTGATGTTTACAACAACTTGTTCATATATGGAAAAAAAATTGGATGTAGCTAAGTGGTTCTCCAATATGTAAATGGATATGTGGATATGTTTCTGTAGTATATCAAGACAATGAAATATTATTCAATACTACAGTAAAGATAAGCTTAGCCAGCCATGAAAAGACATGCAAGAAAATTATATAAATGCACATTATATTCTACATGTTTCCAAATATATGGTAGTATAGAAAAGATAAAACTAAGGAGACATTCAAAAATCAAGATTTCCTAGGAGATAAAGGAGAGGGAAGAATATAAACAAGAAGGGAAATCAGAACTCAGAAGATTTAACACTGTGAATTTATTCTGTACAGTAGCTCAATACACTACTACTATGATAAATATGTATCAGTGTACATTTGTCAAAAACTCATGTAGTGTACAACATGGAAGAGTGAACCTGAATATAAGCTATCAACTTGAAATAGTAGTGTTGTATCACTATAGGCTCAATGATGTTAACAAACCTACAATTGTAGTTCAGTATGTGGATTGTGGGGGATGAAGATTTCAGAGGATATTCTTTAATATTTACAGGTTAAATGAAATATGCTAAAACTTCACTAATATTGAATGTTTTAGTGGCATTTTATGTGGTTTTTCTCATCTCCCTGTTCTGATCTCTACAATATGCAAAAGTCATCACTCTTGACAAAAAACAAATCCCCAAGAGACGTCCATTACAATTATTTTTCATGATTCTTGTCCTATCCAGAACATAGAACAGGAAAATTTCACCCAAGGGGTTTCCAGGGGTGAATCTGCCAGTGGTGGATTATATATCAGGCTAAGGGAAGGTTCTTCCATGATAGTCTCTACCCAAAAACAACAGATACCATCACACACACACACATCAAAGAAGAGGAAAATCACCTGCCTTTAGGGTAAATTTTTGTGTTTAGTAAGTTATATGTATTATCTGTAAAGTTCTCTGTCATTTAAAAAAATATTTCTTTGTATTTGTTTCACCTGAGGCCATTATGCTTGCAGTTGAGTAGGACATGTTTAGTTTTTTTGTCCTTTAAAGAAAATTCACAGCTTTTATCCTCCTACTGTATTCCTTATGGAATTTCTATGGTCTCTTAACAAGGGTGTACATGTCTTTATACCACAGTGCCTCAGATTCACTCAGATCTGCTTTGTGAAATCACAGTCCTCTAACAGCTACTTGATATTAGCATCTGTCAGTGACTCCACATTAATGACGAAAAGGTCCTTATCATGGAAGAAGAAAAAGTTGTTTATGTCCAAGAATATTGTATGCTAAGATAGCTTTTAGCATAGAGATATAAGTAAAAGGTGACATAAAACTCAGCTACTACAGGACTGAAATTCCTAATCTGAGAAAAAATAAAGCAGCTTGAGCTAATGAAAATAACTTGGACTAGCTTCCTGTTCTGAGTACGTATTGGGTAACTTATCATAGCCTCTCAATTCAGGTTTCTTATGAAAATTTAAATGTTTTGATGTAAATTGAGAGTTTCATAGTTTTAGAATTGTTACTATTAAAAATCTTAGTGGGAGGATATCACATATACAGAAAAGTGTAAAAAGCTGGGTTGCTATATTTTCATAATACTAAACGAATAACTCAATTTGTTTCCATTTCTTAATTTTTCAATTCCTCTAACCCCAAAGTTTTCATACCACCTTTTATGAAAAATCTCCCTGAATTACAGGCAGGCATTCTAAAGGTGTTGTAATAGAATCTGCTATGGCAAAGAGGATAAAGTAGTTTCCAAAAAGTAAGCTGCATATCTGATATTTCCTTTACAAATGCACATATAAATGCTTATGCAGTCTATGCTTGTTAATGTGGAGAAATAAAAGTAGTAGGCAATCTAAAAAAGGTGATTTTATATTTTGTTAATAGAACATAGTTGGCTGTTCATTAAAGATTGCTGTAGGTAAGTTTGGGTAACTATTGTTTTAAGTTGTATTTTACTGACTAAAGAAAGGAAGTAACAAATATGCATATCCATGCACAGAGTATCAGAGAGGTTTAAGTGCTTCCTATGTGTTTTATTATTCACCTTCACAAATTTGTTACAAATGCAATGGAAAAAAAAAAAAACAGGACACAATTTCAACAAATAAGAAAGTTAGATTTTCAGAACAGTTCTCACTAATTACAATGCTTACAGTTAAGCTAAAATTATCCTACATATTAGACTTATATTAGTAATATCAGTAGTCCACCTGTATTGTGAATATTAGTAACTTCTAATTTGAATTTTTTTAGAAAACAGTAATGACTTTTATTGGTAAACTATTGTCTACTAGTGCATATTTTAATCTTTTATAGAGAATTCCACTCTCAAGTACAGATAAGTATTGCTTCAACTAATAGCTCTTTTCTGTCACATACTGCAACATGTATAGAACTCATAAAAAAAAAAAAACTAATCCTGCTAACATTTATTTTGAAAAAATTAAGTTTCATGGTAGAAGACAAACACTTAAAGTTTCTCAGAGGACATAAGCTTATTATGTGTAATATCAGACTATAATCTTTAGAAATATAGTAAATTTTAGTATAAAGGTATTGTTTAGTTGTGAGACTGTTATGAGACTGTTATGTCATGTGGCCCCCTTTCCACAGAAAATATGCACCTTTCTAAATTCATAAGAAAATCTTCATTTTTATCCTTTTTCTGTGCTTTTCTTAGTTCTTAGTACAGGAGATGAAGAAACTAGGGCTCATGATGCGGTCATGGTTTCATTGCTGCTGCTCCCTGACACCACCATTGTGGTTTGTGATTTGAAAGGATAAAAAAATGAAACACAGAAAAAAGTAAAAAAAAAGTTAAATAATTGGAGAGAGTGATATAACTGTCTTATGTAAAACTATAGCTTTATAGTGGTAAGTATTTTCTATTCAGATTTCATTAAGTCAGAATCTGAAACTGAGTTATCACTCATTTTCTTTAATATATTTCTCACAAAATACTCTCCCCTAATACATTTTTCTTTCTTTCTTTCTTTTTTATTGAGCTAACTTTGGTTTATAAGCTTAAGTGCTGTTACCAATCACACTCACCACCAAGACACAGTCCACCATGGTCTACAAGAGTCAAATGTGCTACCTCCCTTATTTGTTTACCCAGCACTCTTTCTGATAGAGACAGTGCTACTGTCCGATTATAAGGGTTCATTACTGGCTTACCTTTATCAACGCTTTGCTTTGTTTCTCTATATTCCACATATAAATGACACCATCTTTCTCTTTCTATTTCACTTAGCAAAATATAATACCTCCAGTCCCATCTATCTGTCACAATTAGAAAAAGTTTATCTTTTTTTGTACTAGAATAGTATTCCATTGTGCATAGAAACATCTTTCTAATTTATTCCTCTGTTTTTGGGCATTTGACTTATTTCCATAGGTCAGCTTTGCAAATAGTGCTGCAGTAAACATAGGGGTTCATATATCTCCTCAAGTTCATGTTTTTGAATTCTTTGGGTAGATATCTAGGAGTGGAATTGCTGGGTCACATGGCAATCCCATTCTTTAAATTTTGAGAAGCTTTCATATTATTTTCTATAGGGGCTAGATTCCCCTATAGAAAATAGTATATAGTTTACATTTCTATCAAAAGTGGAATAAGGGTTACTTTTACTCTGTGTCTTCACGAATATATGATGTTTCTGGTCTTTTTGACATGGGTTATTTTCGCAGGTGTGAGGTGAAATCTCACTGTGATTCTGAATTGCATTTTCCCGATGATAAATGATGTCAAGAATTCTTTCATATACCTGCTGATCATCTGTATATCTATGACAACACAGTGCTTACTTATCATTCTTTTCCCTGTATTTAATGGGTTATTAATTGTTTTTTTAGTTGAACTGTATGAGTTATCTGTAGGTCTTAGATATCTAGTCCCCTGTCAATTATATGGCATGCAAATATTTAATATTATTCAATAGGGTGTAATTTCATTTAAATGATAGATTCTATCATGGTGGGTAAACTTTTTAGCTTGATTTAGCAACAATTATATATATATTTTTGTTTTTCTTGCTGTTGAGAGTTGTATATATAAATACATCAGAAACACCAGAGTAGTGAAGTATTTTTCCCAATGTATTGTTATATGATTTTTATGGCACTGCTATGTTTTTCTAATCTATTTATTTTACTAAATGAATTCCATTAATTGTAGACATGAATAACTGATATATGAGGTGCTTAACTTTGCATCTTAATAATCTTGTCCATGGAATTTACTATATTTTGTTTTCATGATACTTGCTCTGGATTTTAATATCATTCTATCGTGTTCCTCCAGAGATAACTTATTTTTCAGTTATTTAGGTTATGATTATTGGTAGCACCCCACTCAGACATTTTTAGTGGAGTCATGATCTCCAGGTGATATCACAAACATTTTTAAACTTTTGCTATCCTGCTTTCTCACTAACTTCCTATGAAAATATGCTCAATTAATCATTTGAATAATGATCCCATCCCAAACTGTGCTCCAAATCAATCAAATGTTTAGCTTTTCTTTGGGTATCTCAAAAAAGTCTGTGTTCCCAACAGTACTTTTCACTTTCATATATAGATGTTAATACAATTTCTAATAATTAAATACCCTTTTCCACACCACTAACAATGTACCCCTCTCTCTAGGCTTTTTAATCTGTCTGCTGTGTCAGAATGGATAAAGGAAATATGTCTGCTGTGTCAGAATTTGTGCTTCTGGGACTTTGCCAGTCGTGGAATATGCAGGTCTTATTCTTACTGATATTTCTTGTGCTTTACCTGATCATTGTATTTGGAAATATTGCCATCGTGATCTTAATCATCGTGGATTCCCATCTTCATTCACCCATGTACTTCTTGTTAGCCAATCTGTCCTTCATTGATATGCTGCTCTCCTCAGTCACAACTCCAAAGATGATCACAGACTTTCTTTGGGAAAATAAGACAATTTCCTTTGGAGGATGCATGTGCCAGATCCTCTTTGTGCATTTTGTTGGAGGAAGTGAGATGGTGTTATTGGTGGTAATGGCCTATGATCGTTATGTGGCCATTTGCAAACCACTCCATTATTCAACCATTATGAGTCTTCAAAAGTGCATTGGGCTGGTAGCAACTTCCTGGACCATTGGCTTTGTGCACGCCATGAGCCAAATGGTTGTGATTGTTCAGTTGCCTTTCTGTGGCCCTAGGGAAATAGACAGCTTCTTCTGTGACATACCACTGGTAATTGAACTTGCCTGCATGGATTCCTACAATTTGGGGATATTAATGAATGCTGATAGTGGTATTCTTGCCGTCATCTGCTTTATAATATTGCTGATATCCTATACATATATTCTTCAAACTGTCCGCCAGAATTCTAAATCTGGCTCATCCAAGGCACTCTCTACCTGCACTGCCCATATTTCAGTGGTAGTTCTCTTCTTTGGACCCTGCATCTTCATCTACGTGTGGCCACTGAGCATTACTTGGGTAGACAAATTCCTTGCTGTGTTTTACTCTGTTATTACTCCTCTCCTAAATCCAACCATTTACACTCTGAGAAATAAAGAGATGAAAAATGCTATGAAGAGATTCAGAAGCTACTCTGTACATTTAAAGGTAAATATTTAAAGTGTGGCACTTCTCTCTAAATTCCTCAACTGACAATAGATAGATCTTGTAAAATAGGTTGAAAATTAAAGGCATGCAGTTTTATCTACAGTTTATGTCTATCTCCACTGCAGGAATTGGTTAATATACTTCGAGTATCAACATTCATTAATCAACATATACAACACCATGGGATATCTCCTTAAAATCTAAACAGTACTGATACCTCTTTGTGAATGATTTTGTCTAAGCAGAGTTTGTCTGCTTTAATTGTATTATATGAGGCCCTGAAATTCATTCAGCAATATAACACTTCCATCCCAAATAGCATCTCAAAGTTTCAATAAAGATCTCTTGAATTTTCTCCAAACTAGTTAGAAAATGCTTCTGAATCATTGATTCCTCCCCTGTAACCTTTCACTTAATCTCTTATCAAGGCCAAATAGTATTTTTTTAACATAACTTCCTACTAAAATACTAATGAGAAATAGTGGGAAGAAAATGGTGACTGAGATAAGAAGAGTAATGTACATGGAGAAGAACAGTAGATGATATTTCTGGGTATGTTTTCCATCAACTCAATATAAGTTAAAACATGAAACTTGTTATTTTCCGTGATTATTTCAGTTTAGGGACTAATCTTCATCCTTGAAGTTATTACTCTTTGTGTAAAAGTTCTGAAATGTAAGTCTCTAAAGAGAAAGAGCCACACCTTGCTTAGTTAATACTTTGCAACTGCAGTTTTTAGTGCTATGGTTCATATGTAGTAAGCATTCAAAAATACATGCCAATGAATATACAGAGACCAATTTTTACATTAAAATACCCATAACTTTCGTTGTCCATGATATATTTAAATCATTTTTTGTCATTTGGTATATATTCTAAATATTTCAAATTATGAAAAAATATGTCTTTTTTCCTCACAGAATGATATTAAGTATTCAAATTCTTTGTAAGATTCATAATGACAGTCTAAAATAAAAATATAGTGCATATGCAGTGTTCGATTCTCTTATGAAACATAACAGAATAGCAGAATAAAAGTAATGTCTTTACTATCCTTGAATGCCTACTCAACATTATTTTATGTATTACCTTAAATGATTTCAATTATTATCCCTAAATTAATCATAGTTAAATGTGGCCAGGAAAGATGAACTGAAATTCTTGCAGGTAACAACTTCTCTATTTTTCATTCATGTGAAGTTTTAAAGATCTATTGATTTCCAAGAGTATTTAGTTATTAAATGACACTATATTTAACTACATATTATATTACATATAATACTTTACTATATAATAAGTGGTTATTTTCTTCAAAGTTAAGTGAAAGTAAATTTTCAAAAATAAAATAACATAGTATCTCGATTAATCAAATAAGAAATATATTGGAAAAGGCATAATTTGCAATCTAATTTGATGATGCTGGAAATGACAGAAACTTCTTGGTTGTACCTGTAGACAGGTAATAGTAAAGAACTGACAGTGAAACATTTTGCTCTTTTCCTTGGGTCATAGCCTTCATTCATTCTCTTGGATATATCTAGTCATTCTGAGCATTGTTGTGATTCTGTGTTTTAGTTTCTCTTTAACTATGCAAATGTCCAGTATCTTTTAAAAAACAGTTTACAAGGATTTCTCAATATTTTGAAAGCAGAAGGAAGAATGAGAAATACAGTTTACATTGTCTTGTCATGCAATTTGCCTCAGCATAATCCAAGTATAGTAAGCGCACTCAACTCAAATATTTAAGTCACTTTCTGCCTTGCTAGCAGGGAAATTCTCCATTAATTTAATTTGATTCTATTTAAGACCATCTTCACAGATTTAGTAAACTATAGTTCTACACATTCTTTGGTCAAACTCAAATGATTAATAGTCAGTCTTAGTTTTCAATATTATGGAAAGTATTGCCCACAAACATGGAAGTATTTTTTAAGAACCAAATCCTTCAGCCAGTGGAGCTTCATGGAGTTTGAAGCAAAAATTTTGAGTCGGATATCAGGTAAAAGAGTGTAAGAATCTATCGCCTCTCCCACCTTCTTTTCCAAATTTAGACAATGGAGATTCATATCCCATGATAGTCTGAGAGAATTTTCTAGGATGCCTTTCTACTATCCTATAAAAACAGGTATGTGTTAAAATCAGTGAATTTTATGGTCATAATTCCATTTCTGATTGACTGTAAAATGAACTGCAAATTAATCTTATTGTAAAATAAATTCCTTGATCAGATGCAATTCTGTGAGGAATGTAAGTGAATAAAATATTTCTTAAATCTATGCATGGTGATGTAAACTGAAATATTATGGTTAGGAAAAAGTATATACCCAAAATAAAAATTATGAAATGAGGCAAAAATTTTAATTTCTTAATGGAAAAGGTCGCCACATAGTTAACTTAGCTCTAGGTGACTGATTATCTTACACAGTAAACTGTGTCATAAGATGTATTAAATTAAAGGGACTTATACTGATAACCAAATCAAGCTTTGTGAGGAATTTCATCACAGATTCTGATCATTCTGTATATGATCTCATTGAGCAAGCAATGATGTATTTGGGAAAAAAAAAAAACAGAAACAGAAACAGAGGTTAACATTACACAGAATTGTCATTTATCCACAAGGATATGAAGTTTCCCTTTTCTTAGATGGAGGCCTACTTGTGAGCACTCAGATGGAGCACTTGTACTTTCATAAACTGTACCCATTTGAAAAATAAAACCCTTCCATAGGAATTATTTGTCACTAGTCTTTTAATTCTATACATTCAATTCTATACATTCAAAGCCATGTTCATTAACCCAAAAAAAAAGTCAATGTTCATAAATCAATATAAATTCATGTTTCTTGTGAACAAAAATAGATACATGCACAGCTTTCATTTCATCCTAATGAGTTAATTACTGTTCACCATACCTTCAGGAACATAATCAGGGCACTAACCACAACCAAGTTACTATCTAACAAAAATACTTCATGATACTTCATTTTTAAAGCTGCAGACTTTCATTTCTAGTTGCTGTCAACAAATAATGCAGAACCAACTGTAAGTACACGTTCAGAGTTTTATTTTCTGTCCATTGCTCATACGGAATGAAATGAATCATTTTATACTGTATACTGGTATACGTGGAATACCACTGTCCATGAAACTACAGGTTTTTCTACATACTGTAGAAAACAAGGTAATCAAACTAGCAGTTGCTGAAAAGAAACTGGGTCATAAATAAATGCAATGTCTTTATGCCTCTGGACCTGCTAAAGCTGATTTCTTATTTACCAACTCTACTTAATTATCAATGCCATTTTTTGGATTGCAATTTTATGATTTGAAAAAGGAGATGGGGCTTCCCTGGTGTTGCAGGTGTTAAAAGGCTCAGCACTAACAATCCCCAGACACTGCAGCATGAGCTTGATCCCTGGCTAGCGAAGTGGCTCACATAGTGCAGCAGACCTTTGCTGTCTCACCTTCTGCTCCCCTCACCTGCTGCTCCCCTCAGCAGTGTATTTAAGTTGATAAAAATTTTCTGCTTCCCAATCTGTCTCTGGTGAATCATCACAAATCCCACACTTCTGGACTACAAACCTTGGTCTTCTACAAATAAATATTTAAGAACTGAATATAAAAATGACAAATAAACATGTGGAAATACGTTCAAAATCATGTAACATTAGAAAATTGAAAACTAGGACAATGACGAACTACCACCTCAAACCTCTGGAATGACTAAATACAAAACATTGACCACCTAAGTCCAGATAACAATATGAAACAATAAGAACTTTCATTCATTGATATCAGGATCAAAACAATACTGATTGGAAGTTTCTTACAAACTAAAGAAAATTTTATCACACAATTCAATAACCACACTCCTTAGTATTTGCAAAAGTGCAATAAAAAACATCTTTCCACACAAAAATCTCAAGCTGATGTTTACAACAACTTTGTTCATATATGCAAAACAATTGATGTAACTGCGAGGATCTTCAGTAGGTAAACAGATAAGTTTCCACTGTATATCAAGACAGTGGAAAATTATTCAATACTACAATAAAGATAAGCTAGCCAGCCAATGAAAAGAAATGTTATGTTCTACATGATTCCAAACATATGATAGTGTAGAAATGGTAAAACTGTGGAGGCACTGAGAAATTTTGAGTTCCCAGGGGTGAGTGAGGGGAAAATATGTGATCAGAACCCATTTGTTTAATGCTGTAAATTTATTCTGTAAACTACTTCAATACATCCCTATTATGATAAATATGTATCAGTGTACATTTGTCAAAAACTCATGGAGTGTACAATATGAAAAGTGAATTTGAATATAAACTATCAACTTTGAGTAGTAATGATGTATCAGTGTAGGCTCAATGATGCTAACAAACCTACCACTGTAGTTCAGTATGTAGGTTGTGGGGATAAAGATTTCAGAGGATATTTCTTTAATATTTGCAGGTTAAATGGACTATGATTTAATACTTCACTATAATTGAATGCTTACTGACATGTTTTTGTGATTTTCTTGCCTCCCTGTTTTGATCCTTACAATGTGCAAAAGTCATCACACTTGACAAAAAAAATCCCCAAGAGATGTTCATTGTAATTATTTTCATGAATCTTGTTCTGTCCAGAACATAGAGCAGTAAAATTTCACCCAAGGGAATTCTGGGGGGGGGTGAATCTGCCAGAGGTGAATTATATATCAGGCTGAGGGAAAACTCTTCCATTGACACTGTCTCTACCCAAGAACTACAAATATTATCACAAAAACGCAAGAAAAGTGGAACATCATCTGGCCTTAGGGTAATTTTTTTTGTATGTTTAGTAAGTTATCTGCATCATCTGTAATGTTTTCTATCATTTAAAAAATATTTCTGTGTACTGTTTCACATGAGGCTACTGTACTTGGAGTTGAGTAGGACATATTTAGCTTTTATGCTTAAAGAAAATTCAAGCCTTTCTTCTCCGATTGTATTCCTATGATCTTTTTAACAAGGGTGTACATGTCTT